TTAAATCGTCGTGGTTAACATTTAACTGACTTTTCACCCGTTAGGGCGTGACTCGTGTTGTCGCTGGTATCGTGCTGATGGCACGTTTCCGTTTGTCTGTTCATAACCATTCACTCTTCTGCCACATTGGGATTTTGACCGCAGAGGGTGAAAAGATCGCTTATCAAGCAGACTGGAGTAAGGACTGGTTTGACTGATGGAGCTACACAAAAAATAAAAATATCCTTCGGAATAAAGAATTGACACGGGGCTAAAAATGTAACAACGAATTGGTTTATATATGATTTGTTGTATACAGCGATTTTAACCCTCCCCATTTCTCATAATCAAATGACATGGGCACCTCGACATGGTGTATTGTTTAGGAAACTTGTCTCGCTATTACAACTGAGTAGTGAGTTTAATCCCCACTTGGTGCCCCATGCTTTCGGCCTTGTGCCACATCTTAGCTACACATAGGAAATCATTTTTGCGCACCTCGAAGTGATGTAATGATTAGCAAGTTTGTCTCGCTAGATCAATTACAATTGAGTAGTGAGTTCAATCCCCACTTGGTGCCCCATGCTTTCGGCCTTGTGCCACATCTAAGCTACACATAGGAAATCATTTTTGCGCACCTCGAAGTGTTGTAATGGTTAGCAAATCAATTACGACTGAGTAGTGAGTTCAATCCCCACTGGATGCCTTGTGCCACATATAAGCTGTGCTTAGAAAATCATTTGGGATCGCATTTCTATTCTTGTCTTCGATTAGAATTTGTTACATCCGACTTTTAGGGGCATCTCGATGCGGTGTAATGGTTAGCAACCTTGTCTGGCTAGAACAATTTACGATTGAGTAGTGAGTTCGATCCTCACTGGGTGCTGCCTACTTTCGGCCTTGTGCCGCATCTAATCTACGCTTGGAAAATCAGTATAATCAAATGACACTGGAATCCTTTTCGGAGTCTGCCGTTTATTTTGATAGTAACTTAAGTTTCTAAATTCTGGTCTTCAGGATCGGCATAAGGTTTTGGTTTTTGCTCAATCTTACCGAATTCCATCTATTTAAATTCAGGTTCGATTCTCCTTGGAGTTATCTCAAAACATGATTCTTCAACGCATTTCGTTTTTAACTTCCTTCTCAACTTTTCAGTCCATCTTCATGCGAACTTCAACAATTACTATCCAGTTAGTAAACTCTTTCCTCTTCTTTCTTTCTTTCTTTCTTTCTTTCTTTTGTTTTTGGATCTACCTCCGGAGATCTCAGTGTTACAGTCAAATGTTACTCTCCGTGTGTGTTATTTCTTCAAAGATGAGTCTATATTAACTCTTACATGCTACCATAGTCATATATTTTGTTAATATTTGTTTCTTTTTCTTAGCAAAAGAGACAGTTCAAGTTGCGAACTAGATAAAGGGGACCTCAAAATCAAGCAAGAACAGAGATTTAAATATATTAATAATGTCGTAATAGATGACAGAAATGTGACACAGAAAGCTGAAGTTCTCTATCAATGGAAAAAAAATGCCTCCCTGAAGCTAAATGTTGTAACTCGGTTATAAAAAACAACAGTAGAAAACCGGAAATGGTTTAACAAGTTTATTCACTTTTGGTACAGGGAAAAATAATGTAGAATAATAACTAGGGAAGAGAATGTTTAGTCGTGAATGACTGTTTTCAGCAAAGACTACTGCTGCTACTCCTCTTGATGTAGGATTATTTTTATGTCTTTCATCCGACGGCCGAGTCCAAATTTGTAGGGAAATATTCTCCCTCACAACACTAAGAAAAGTATTAAACAATAGGAAAAAATGTCGTTAAAAAAAGAAAAAAGAGTGTTTAAGTGTTATCTAATATTTAATATCCTACGTGGCAGTGAATATTGAATAATATCCTCACATATGAAGAAGAAACTTGAAGTGAGATAGATGACATCTGAAAATAACATTGACAGAAAATGTGAGCAATGAGGAAGTTTTGAGGAGAATAGAAAAGGCAATGAAAATGCAGCTAATAACTAGAAAGCGACAGCTGAAATTTCTAGAACATATAATGAGGAAGGGAGGCTTGGAGTATTTAACACTCACAGGATATACTGAAGGCAAGAGAAGCAGGGGAAGCTACAAATAATGGCAGCACAAGTACAAAGAGGGATAGCAAATGAGCAAAAGAAGTTGTGGAGAGTCATGATCATCCACGTTCTGAAACGACATGGCATATGAAAGAATGGTGAGTTGTCCAATAGGCACTACGACCAGAAATAATAATTTTAAAAAAAAAATTCCCATTAAGTCCTCCAGTTCACGAATACCAATGTTTCATTTTTTTCTTCTCTGTGCCGTGTCCCTTCAGGACATGGGCAATAACTGCTCTCCACAACTTCCCCTCCTTTGCACCTCTTAGCAATGTTTATCTTTTTGCTATCTTCTCCAATCCTTGTTCTCCCAAAACAAGTTCATTAGGTTATTCGCTGATTTCTTCTGTTCCTCTGGCTTTCAATATGTCCCTCTGTGTGTTAAATTTTCCAAGCCTTTTTTCCTCATTATGTACTATGGAAATTTCAACTAATTCTGATTCTATGTATACGTGTCCATTTTGTTTCCATTGCTCACATGTTCAGTCCATGGTATTCTTAGCATCGTTCTGTAGAACTACTTTTCTATTGTTTCAAGTTTTTTCTTCATCTGTGAGAGAATTGTTCAGCATTCACTGCCATATCAGAGGACTGATATTATGTAACATTTCAGCATTCTTTTCTTGGTTTCTAACGATGTTTTCTTGTTTCTTAATACTTGGGTTTGGAAGGCATTTTTCGCTATTTCAATCCGCCTTCGAATTTCGGTGTCGCCTTTTCCGTCCTCTATTTAAACACATCCTAGATATGTTTTTTCTTCTAATTAATTTTTTGAAATGTCCCTAGGGAGTGATTCAGTTTGTTACATAAATTCATTGTAAATTGATCCCCCACCTATGGAATCCAAAACAAAATATGTTCATTTGACATGATTTCTTAAAATGGGAAAAAAAGAATGAAATTCGTAAGCTGGAATTCTTTTTATCCTATATTGCTATCGATTTCGCACGTTATATGACGAACTTGCAAAAAAAAAAAAAATAAAATAAATAAAATAAAATAAAAAAAATAAAATTAAAATAAAAATTTATGAAAATACGTCTTATGAGCATATTTTGTTTTGGCTTCCGTAAGGAGATCAATTTATAAAGAATATGCGTAGTAAACTGGTCCATTCCTATTAACTTTTATAAAATTTAATAGCTTTTCTTTTCCTTTTTTTTTTCTTCATTTTTGAAGAGAGATCTGGAGAGCTTCATTAATAGTAATATGAAAATCTTTTTAAGAAAAGTGTTTATTTCTGGACGCAGTGCCCAGGTTCGATGTAATGATCTCGTGATCCCCTTCCCCACACACTACACTACACTACTGACCCACAAAAAAAACAGAAAATTTGGTACAGTTTATGTAATGGTAGATGTGCTGTTCAAACTAAAAAACTCTGGCAAAATTTCATGGCATTTTTCATTCCCCAAGTTGGATGTTTTTTTCTTAATAAGAACAATCATCTCGTGTTGAAAATTTGATAACTGCATCATCCTGAAACAACAAATAGTTACAAAATTTATATCTTAGTTAATTTTTTAGTTCATTTTATAGTAAAATATATAGTTAATTTTTATATATATATATATATATATATATATATATATATATATATATATATATATATATATAAAGCATTCAAGGCGGAAGCCACTAGCATACAAGGGGTTACAGAGTTGGAGCGAGTACAAAGAGGAGTGATAGAGGAAAGGATGAAGAGATGGTTAGGGGATAGATCAGGGCATCTGGAGACGTCAATTGACATTACATTTGAATAGTTTGAGATTATAGCTATCAGGGAAAACAAGAAATGGGGAGGGAGTTCCACAGGCCAGAAGTGCGAGACATGAAGCTATTGAAGTAGAAGAGACGGCTACATTTAACCGTTTCGACAGTGAAAGGTCGTGAGCGAGATGCCAGCCTAGTAGTACGCTTAAATTCACGAAGTCTGGGAACCAGCGAAAGCAGTTCATCAGAGCAGTTACCGTGAAAGTATTTGTAAAAAAGACCAAGGGTGGCAACGGCACAGCTAGTTTTTTTTTCAGCATATAGAAAATAGAAAATGTCCTGTATTTTTTTTTGTTTTGTTTTGGTGAGACAACTTGTATATCTCAATTTTCATAAGGTAGTATTCATACAAAATACAAATATGTACAATAATGGATCATATGCAAGGCGACCCTTATACTAGGCCTGGCGACCATGCGACTGGAATGAACGACTGGGGACGGACATATGGAGGCCTAACTTACTGCTAAATAATAATTATTGAGAACATTTTTAGCAAGGAACTTGTTAGTAATGTCCAGTAATTAGGTAATTAACAACTATATATAATATTAGGGAGAATCTTACAATTATTGACTTATTTCCATAAATGCAAATGTACAAAGAAAGAACAAATTAACCTACTCGAACATAAAATAGATAAATGCACAAAAAACTTTATCTGTCATAAATTAGTCGTTTTTAGATTATATTGCAAAAAATAATGAGTTAATTTGTGATATAATGGAATATGCAGACACCTGTGTTCCCCCCTCACTGGAATATGATTGGCTGGTGTCCGTCATAAATACCGACAGATGTGTAGGTACGACAGAGCTTAAGTCTGTGACGACGCCCATTGGACTACGCCATTGGCTATTCTATTGGTCTACACTTATTACCTGCGACTACGACGCGTACCAGTCGATTACTGCTACCGGGTACAACTTGGTTACAGTAGCCAAACCCACTTAGCTACTTTGATCAAATATATCCCTTTCCAGGACATATCAGATAGATAGATAGATAGATAGATAGATAGGTAGGTAGAAATAAACAATGTTTTATATATATATATATATATATATATATATATATATATATATAGATAGATAGATAGATAGAAATAAACAAGCTTAGATAGATAGATAGATAGATAGATAGATAGATAGATAGATAGATAGAAATTTTCATGCTTAGATAGTGATATAATGGAATATGCATACACCTGTGTACCTTCTCACTGGAATATGATTGGTTAGTGTCCGTCATAAATACAGACGGACGTGTAGGTACGACAGAGTTTAAGTCTATGACGACGCCCATTGGACAACGCCATTGGCTATCCTATTGGTCTACACCTATTACCTGCGACTACGACGAGTACCAGTCGATTACTGCTACCGTGTACTACTTGCCAAACCCACTTAGCTACTTCGATCAAATATATCACTTTCCGGGACATATCAGTTTGTTTATGCTAACTGATTACAGAAAATATAATTGCATAATGTAAACAGAAAGCAATTTCAGCATTTTACAAAATCGTGTATCAGCAAACAATGAAAATACTTAACAAAAAAAAATGGGAATTTCAGAGAAGCAATAATTTTGATAATTTTTACAAAATGTATTGTGATTTTTGTTACATGTACAATTTGTTTCACAGAAGATGATGAAATTAGAATGAAAAAAAAATTAAAATCAATTTACATTAACAAGAACACAAAATTAATTAGCAGAATTATTTAGAGAGTTAACTAATTAAATATATGTATAAAGAGGGAAAATTGAAAGTAAAAAAAATCCCTTTGGTATCAAGTGAAATTTTTAAATTACCTTCATCTATTTATTTAAAAAATGTTTATATTCTTGAAAATAAAAACAAATAGCATTGTTTCCCCTTCTGCTTCTTGTAACACAGTATTCTATATACAAAAGTAATTTTTTAATATCTTTAGGAATCCTAGTTTCAAGGTCTGGTAAGTTATCAAATGTTTGGCATCCCATTTCATTTAGTAAATGTTCACATTTTGAGTAATTATGGCCTGGATCAAAGTTGTATTCTTTGACTTCAACATTTAATTTAGGAAGTAGTTTTAGTTTTTTTAATATTGAAATTTTTCAATAATATTTTGAACTCTTATAAAATATGCACCTCCAGAACTTTGGCTTAATTGTCCAAATTATTTTCTAAATAGTCTCTGGTAAATTCACCAAGCATAACAAAATTAACCCACTACTTAAACTAGTATCTGTTGTTAATGATTGCATTCTTTTCCTTAAATCCCCCCCACCATTCTTTTTGTCATTTTTCTAGAATTAGAAAGAAATAATAGATGTTCATCATCTAAATCGGATATCACCTTTTTCAGTGGATCATTTTTATTAGTATCACCATATATTTCTTTGACACTGACAATTTTCCCAAATGAAATTAGCTGCAGTTTGATCACAAAAAAAAACAAAAAACAAACTTTTAAACAATGGGAAACATTTTGTCGCTGAACAGGCTTTGGGTAAGTTGTTATATTTCGACAGCTTAACGAATTGAGTTTTTTTTTTTTAAACTCAAACTGTGCCAACTCATCATTTTGCACATTTCGCATAGAAGCAAAAGTTTTGTTGGTTGGTTTTGGTTGAGGACGCGGTAATGCACTCATGGCAAATGATCAAATATTGATAGTGGATTTCCGGCTCGTAACCATCATTTCATAATCAGACGGAAAATGCCTTTCACAAACAACAATGTCAGATTTTTCAGGGGTGTTTTCTTGAGGTATTGCCTTTAATTCTGACATTGAAGAAGATGGAATGCAGAAACTCTATTTTTTTAAAATCATAGTTACCATGACAACAATACTTTTTTTTTTACCATTTTGAGAAAGATTTTGGGGTAGTGAAATTAAAAAATATTAACTTAAACTATTATTTCGTAAAAATCACATGATGCTTCTAAAAACTGTATGAACCTTATATTCTAAGGTCCGGGGGGTTAAGGATACAGAATTAAGAATTTTAAAGTTCGTATGAATGTGGGAATTTGTCATTTTATGTTAATTTCCGTTGTCTTTAAAGAATTACGTCATTCCAAAGGATTTTCAAATTGTTTCACTGGTCAGGGTCAGGATTATGTTGACGTTACATAGTGAACTGAACCTCTCTCATTAAAATTTTTGGATAATCGTATTTTATGGAGGGGGTGCGGATCGATCACCTCCTTCCACATAAAATACGATTATCTAAACAAAATTAACCAGTTTAATATTTTACACTATATTTAAAAATATGAAACTGGTTAATTTAGTAAAATTAAACAAAAAGTTTTCTTAAATACCCGTGTGTAAATATATATTTTTAAATCAATGTTTGCTATAAAGAATAATATCATAGAAAAATATTAAATTTAATTTATATTTGACTTTTTATAATGCGCAAATTTCTGTATATTGTAGTAATTTTTGAAAATTAGCAGTGCAAAAAGTTAGATTTAGTTTTTTGTTCTCCTACAAGGGCGGTATCAACACATTTCACGTGTTATGAAGAAATTATTCCCTAAAAAATGAATTTTATAATCAAGATATTTGTTATTTTGAATAATAATAGCATAAAAAACTTAAATTAACTTTCTGTGACAAAATTCTAAATAAGGACATTATTTTGTGAATTTTGTGGTTTACAATAATCGAAAAAATGTAAAAAAGAAAGAAAAAAGATATTGACAAGACAATAACATGATTGTCTTGTCAATATCGTCTTCTTCTTTACATTTTTGTGGTATATTTTTAATTGTTGTAAATAGTTAAATTTATTGAATTTAATTTTTGACATGAACTTTGTGATAAATCCTTTAATAAGTATCATTTTTCATTAATTTCGTTAGATATTTTTCGATGTCTTCTTTTTGTATAAAAATGACAGAAAAATTCATCATACTTAAAAAAAAACCCTGTTCGTTCTGTTAAAGAAAAAGAAATTATTCATAAAAATTAATTTCATAATTAATATGACATTTTTGAATAACAATAGCACAGAGAAAAAATATTAATTTATGATACAAAATTCTTAATGCACTTGTGAATTTTGCACCGAAAAAGTTTATTTAAAGTTAAAATATTGCAAGTTCAAATAAAATAAGCAAACGTTGCTTGCTTCGTTATATTGAATAATAAACTGAATTTAATTCCAAGCTAAAAAAGTTAAAGTTTCTTTAAAAAAACTTAATTTCTTAATCCAATTCTAGCAACGAACTTTTACGTGTTGAAAGTTGTCTCCCAACTTGAGTTAAGGATCATTGTGATCATATGCAATATGGGTGAACAATTCAATTTGTCTTAGGGAAATCGATGAATTCATCTCTTTCCCCCCCCCATAAACTTGGGTTAAATAACAGACAGAGGTCTCAGTTTTGGTTGGTGTATAGCTTAGAAGAAGGACGATTCTGAAATCAAATAAGGGTTAGTCGTGAAGCGAGTAACCCCACCACGCAAAACCTACATTTTATTGCAACTACATAAGTCACACAGAGCGTAATGAGGTTGCAGCCTTTTTTGCCCTACAAGGGAGTCCATAGGGCGCGTGCGCACACACACACACACACACACACACACACACACACATATATATATATATATATATATATACATACAGATTTGGTGCAAGAGTCCCGTGCGCCCGTTAGCATATGAAGCAGCGCACCCGAATATATATATATATATTTATATATATATATATATATATATATATATATATGATACGGGGCCCTCCACTCTACTACATCTCAATTTTCATAGGGCAGTATTCATATCAGATACAAATTTTATTGTAACCTAATTATTTACAATAATGGATCATATGGAATATAGGTTAACAATTCAATGAGAAAAATTGAAAATAAATACAATGTATCTAAATACAAATTAGAGACATGTCATTATAGATCATTGTATCTTAAATAAATCATCAATATTTTGCAGCAATATTTAGCATCAACCTGAGATTTTCCTTGTTAAAAAGTCGAACAATTTCAACACAGTCAACATTTATGGATAAAAAGTAGTAAATTTTATATAGTGTTTTTTCTTAAGACGGGTTTGGAAAAAAAAGAAAATGACCCTAGAACGACATCAAAATCCGCGAAAACTTTTCATCCTTTTAAGGTCAGTAATACTTAGTTTAATTTGTAACCTATATAAATGTAGGTAGAAAAAAAGGAAATGTTAATAAGACAGCGACGGTCACAAAACACTGCTCGTGGCTCTCAGTGAGGCTTGCTCACCCTCCCTGGTCTAGTGGTCGGAGGTAGTGCCTGTTGTATAACTTCACCGAAAGAAGGAAACACCTATTTATGTATTTAATAAAGCGCTCTATTCAAAATGGCATTTTAGGGTAAGGCATCTCAAATCCCAGTTCCCACGGTATTAACTACGAGTGTATTAGGATGCTTTCTCCGATACACCCTCCCTCCCTCTGAGGGCTATAGGGTAAAGCAGTCTGGAAAATAGATCGCTGGTCACTAGGTACAAATTATATTTTCACTTGACCACGTCCGAAAACGCTGGCAAACAAAATAATAGGTGTCACCCACGAGGAGAGTGTTAATGAATGAGTTAAGGCAGGCGTGGTAGCTAGCGGAGTATGCTACCTATAATCCCTAGGATCGTGGATATACGGGTAGCGTAACTTTTTTTTTACATTGAAGTTGTAGAAAACTTATAACTACCCTAACATTTATATAGACACATTTTTCGTGAAAATGAGAAGCAGCAAGACAAAATGGAAGCCGTAGAAACAACAAAATGGAAGACGTATAAACAACAAAATGGAAGACGTAGAAGCAACAAAATGGAAGACGTATAAACAACAAAATGGAAGACGTAGAAACAACAAAATAGAAGACGTATAAACAACAAAATGGAAGACGTAGAAACAACAACATGCAAGACGTGGAAACAACAAAATGGAAGACGTAGAAACAACAAAATGGAAGACGTAGAAACAACAAAATGGAGGACGTAGAAACAAGAAAATGCAAGACGTGGAAACAACAAAATGGAAGACGTAGAAACAACAAAATGGAAGACGTAGAAAGAACAAAATGCAAGACGTGGAAACAACAAAATGGAACCCGTAGAAACAACAAAATGGAAGACGTAGAAACAAAACATGGAGTATTATTTATTATCTGGCTGTTATGTAGTGTTGGAGAAACGAGAGGCAGTAATACTCAGTAAAATTTTGTGTTTGGGGTCATATGTAGATCAAATATGGATCGGAATCTGGCAGAATGAAGACAGACGATAACCAAAATGCATACAGTCTTTTCCGTATGTTCTTTTTTATTTCTATAGATGTGTGTAATTAGTGTCTAGTGCTTATTTAGAAAAATAGAAGAAGTGTTTGGGGTTTTCTTACCTCGAATTTTTGTTGAGTGTTAAATGATAGTCAGTTATATGTCATGCTTAGACGATCATGTATATTTCAATACATGATGACGAGGCAGTAGGTTGCTATTTCTTTCTGCGGTAGACCAGTTGTCTTCCAAAACTATTTACCCGTAGCTAAGGGGAGAAGAAGAGGACTCATACTTTTCCCAAGGGTATTAGCATGTAATTCGAACTCGGCTTTTCGATTCCTCAATCCGAGCCGCTATCCATTACTCCACCGGAGTTTGTGGATTTCATAATCAGGAAGTTTCTGACTTCCTTTAATTAATTCCTATTAAGAATGCTGGAACTATTAAACCAATTCTTTCAGAATCGGTTTACTTACAATTTCAAATCCGCCATCATTGATATTGTCATTTTCTTTCTCGAGTAAGTGAATGTAATGGATTCGACACTCCGATTCCTCAGTCCGAGCCCTATCCATTATTCCCCGTGCCTCCTCAATGATAAATGTTACTATTATGGCCTGAAAAAGAAAAAAGAGCCAAAATTTTCATTGACGCACTTGTTAACGACCTGTCCGTGTGAACTGCTTGTCCGATAGTGAAAATGTCACGTATTTGTATCTGTAGAGGCAAAAGTGGTTTGAATGAATTAATTAATTTTAGTTATACTTGTTATGATTATTTTATTATAATTATTTTTGACACTATAATTATTTTTTATTTATTTTTATGGATACGACACCGTGACAGTATAATCCATTTTTGATTTATTGTATTTGTTTATGGACACGACAAAGGACAACTCAAATCAATTAGAAATTTATTTCTAGTGATATGTAAAAATAATGCTTTAATATCTAAAGTATGTTTTGTAATGTTGTGGTCAAAAGAAATGTGAGCCCCCACAAAAACTGTTGTTAAGAATTAGAAAGAATCAGCTGAATTTTTTGAGGAGACATATAATGAGAAAGAAGGTTCAGATAACGTAATACACGCAAGGCTCATCACAGGCAAAAAGAATGATGAAAGCAACGACTAACTTGACATATTTAAGAAAATGGATGGAGGAACAAGTACTGCAAAAGCAAAAGAAAAAGAGCTAAAAAGGACAGGAAATTGTGGAGAGCCATGATCGTCAACGTCCTGAAGGGACATGGCACAGAGAAAAAGAAGAATGGTGAAATTAACCGTTTACTTATAGGAAATATTTAGTCCACGAACTGTTATAGCTCTTTCTAGTATTGATGGAAGTTTTTGTTTTGAGATGTGGTTTTTGTTATTTGGTAAAGCTCTTAGTCTTTTTGTAGCACTAGTCTACGGAATCTAATGAAGGATTGTTTTCTTTAACACGTTGTCTCCCACAGTATCCACCGGAGAGTCATGGTGCTATGTCTGCAAGGCCCACACGACCCCCCTCCCCGGTGGGTCGTTTTCCAATTTCTTTTCGATGAGGCTTATTAAAAGTGGGATGCTATGATTGATTACTTATGTGATCTTGGTACACCAGAACCACATTTTTTCCCCACAACTGAAACATTTTTTGATATTTTTATCTTTTATTTTGTTTTCATTTTGAAATTTCTACTTTTGTTTTTTGGGGGCCATTTTAAAAAAAAAATTTACGTACAAAAAGCTGTACCGTGCATTCGTGTGGGTCGTGTGGGACTTTGGGTATAAAATGGACTCAGGTACCAAACAACACCCCAGTGGGTAGTGGGTAATAAATACTACTTGTGATATCCTTACCTCATATATGTAACAATGTTAAAACAAAGTCTCTTGTACCAAAGTTAATTAAGATATAGTGATGGGACCCGGAGACAACAAGGGAAATGAGGCTAGGGAACCAACGTGTTAAGAGCAGCATTATCAATTCGCTTGAAGCCATATTTAATTATTGATCTGAGAAATGGTAGTTTATATATTTCTGAACGAGTTATTCATGGCATCTATATGAATCACTATGACGAAGGTATTTAAGAATAGAATATAACTCAACTTCTGTCATTTTGCGATGTTGGTCAAAGCACAACATATCATGTGTTTTAATTTCCCTATTTTATATACTAAGCTTGAACTGATCTATACGCCGAAGTGTATGAAGTGTTTAGAATGAATTCTTCAAACTGAATTTTTATGGTGTATTCAGGGTATGTGACTTCATTGCTCTCATTCTAATTCAAGATAGAAGACGTAAAGAAAAAAAGTATTATCGAAAAGCAGCGAAAGGAAGGAAGTCGT